CTATAAAAAATATAAAAGAAATTAAATTAATTAAAATTACAAAATAAACAGTAAAATAATTTAGCACCTTACTTTTGAAATTTTTAACTCAAATTGTACTGTTGTTGACACACTGTTCTAAAACTATGCGAAAATTTCAACTGTTATTACACATACACGCGCAAAACTAGTGAGCCACATGGGTAATACATACTACCGCATAGCACTACATAGTACGACATAGTATGAGACAGTATGTATATGATAAACCAGAAGTATTAGCGCATTAAAAGACATAACTATAATAGTATTTGCAAATATTGCAAATATAACAAGCAGATTAATAAATTAATTATTTACAATTGATTAAATAAATATGCGTCAGGCGCGCATAAGTTACATAACATAACAGTATATAAAAAGAGAAGAGGTGAGCGCAAAATGAACAACTACCTAAACTCAGTTTATCAGAAACAAAAAGCAAACCAAAATATAAACAAAAAACAACAAACAACACGACTAGTTTAGCAATAAAATAAAATTGAGATAAAAAGTGGAAATAAAATATATTAAACAAAAAAATACATACAAGTATGCATGGGAATTCGTGTTCTTATTCGAGCGATTTTGGTCAAGTTATATTCAATTTTTTCGAGCCTATCAGCTTTATCGGTATCAATCAAATAACCATATATGTTAGGCCAGTTTATGTAAGCTTAAATGGTGTCAAGACACATTATCCACAAATGATTTTAAATTTCAAGAATGTCATTCTCCTCGACCTTGGATTGTAATCTTTATAAACAAGTAAAGATCCCAGATTTATGCTAGATAAATTTCAAGAATCTTACTTCATAAATCGTTGTACCTCACACAGTAATGAAATAGGTTAGCTGGATAATCACCCAAGCTGGCTGGAGGATCCCACCTAGACTGCTACATACAGTCCTTTGTAAAGCCAAATAAAGACTACTGCAGTTGGATGTTAATTATGGACAAAGCGCCTTGAACCTATCACAAATATGCTTTAATAGATCTCTTACGATTTACCCTGGGTCAGAAGGCCCTTGCGGTTGCGCAGCTGCTAGCATCTGTCCAGCGCTTGCCGGGTTCGAGTGATGCCCACCCATCTAGTAGCGAACCGCAAGAACCCAGTGGAGCTTCTACCCGTTTCCACTCTGCAACTAGTGAGACAGATGAACCTGGTCAGCAGGTTTTTCAGTCTTGCAGTTTCCTGCAATTCCGCCATGGTCAGATACCCAAACCAGTCAATTCATGAAATAACCCGATGTCCGAATTAAGGAGTCGGTACATCCCTTTACTAGTCTCGAGCGTATCACTGCTGTGCTATTGGAGTGGATGGTCACCACTCTGGCAGACACATCCGCTTCAAATCCGCAGCAATGATCAGGAAGCCTGAACATGTAGTTGATTCATAGTTCCCGACAATATTCCTCTCTATTAATCTTCACCGCAAGCTTTGATCCATCCTCACCTTCTGTCGCAGGCATGTGAGCCATAAAAAAAGGGCTAGGCTCGACGACCTGGTAATCCAACTATTTTGGATTCCAGTGTGCTGGTGTGATTTGTAGTGCACCACAAATGCTGATGAGAGAGAGAGAGAATATATAGAATGTTTAAATAATCAGCGTGATGAGTGGTGTCAATTTAATCATGTCCGTCTGTCTGACTGTATATACGCGTACAAGTCCCTCAATTTTTACCCTAAGGTACTGCCTTTTGTCGGAACCACTATGTATCGGACCACTAGAGGCTATAGCTGGCATATAAACCGGGCGATCAAATCTACTCCTTCAATGAAAACCTTTTTTATTTGACAAGACATCTCTACGAAATGTGACATAGGTTATTGTCCAAGGCAACACTACAATCTCCGAACAAATTCTTCAGATCGGACTACTATAGCATACAGTTGCCATACAATCAAGATAATGATCTTTTTTTACCCTCTTTCCACTTGATCAAAATTGACCGGCCTCACAAGAGAATGCATTTTCACATATTTTAATTTTTATAATAGCCTTCCAAATAGGCTCCTGAGCCAATACAAGCATGTCAACGTTTAATCCAATTTTCGATACACTCGGCCTCAGCTGGCTTGTCTTCAGTGCCTTTTACTGGATTCAATGGAGTATTGAACCCGAAGGTAATTTTTCAGTTTCAAAATCAGAAAAGAGTCACAAGGACCCAAATCTGGAGAATACGGTGGCTGAGCAATTACTGTCGAGTCGTGTTTGGTCAAAAATGTAGTCAAAATCATGTTAGAATTTGACAAAGCTTTAACGTGGTGAAGAAATCCATGAATTTTCTCCCCACAAATCCGGTCGTTTACGACGGATTGCTTCAAACGGACGCCTCAAAACGGGTAAGTAGTATTCCTTATTAACCCATTGATTCTTTGGAATGTATTCATGGTCAACAACTCACGGTAACAAAAGAAAACGACGAACATTAGCTTGATTTTACGCCGACTTTGACGTGGTTTTTTCGGTTTCGGCTCATTTTTTGAGCGCCATTCGCCAGATAGCTAAACATATTCGACGTCATATTCATGAACCCACGTCTCGTAACCAGTAATGATGCGTTTGTTGAACGTATGACCCTTAACTACGTTGTCAACCATCTTTTGCAAAAGATGCAGATCTTTTGATACGAGTGTAGCGTGTCAATATGCTTTATACCTAAAATATTAACCAAAAAGTATTGAGTTGATCCATAGATGTTGAGATCCTCTGCTATAACTTTGATGCCAACACGACGATTTCCAACCACTGGTTCTTTAACTTTTTCAACGTTATCGTCATTAAGTTTGATGGTTAACTCGGATGAGACAAGTCTTCGATGACTTCACGACCTCACGGAATGCTTTGTGCCACACAAATGTGTTTGAGATAAGGTAGGCTCCCAAAAACACTTCCGCCGCATTTTCGAATAAGAAATGCATCTGTGAAGGGTATTATACATAGCTTCGGTGTAGCAGAAGTTAACGTGTCTCAATTTATCTACAAAGTTTTAAAATTTTTGTTAACTTTCCTCTATTTCTCTGATTTTTTAGTCTTTTAAAATATTATAAAATTAAACAAAATCTTTATTTTTACATTTTAGTTATAATTTGAATTTATTTATTTTAGTTTATTATTGACAATAATTTCTGACTCATTTTCTCATTAATTGTTTATTATTGTTTATTATGAATTCGTTTAAGCAACTAATAATAGTTTATTAACTATATTACAAAATCTAATGATTCCTGTTTTTACATTTATCTTTTGTGTGTCAGTTTATATAATTATTTTCGCACTTTAATAACTTGACATCAGATTTGAATATTTTTCACTGTTAATTTTTTGTTTCATCAATAATTAAAATATTGCATATCATTACATAACTAGTTGTGTATATGTACATTGGTATGTGATTATATGCCTTTAGTCCTATATAATAAAGTTTTTAGTTTTAATTATTATTTTCAGCATCGCATTTATTTGTAAATTTATTTGTTTTTGCAAAATTTAACATTAGCTCGGTTTATTGTTGTATTAGCGCAGTGGCTGTAACTCGAAAACTGCAAAAGCTAGCAAAACGCATGCAAACTTGTCGAGGAGAAAACATATTTTTTTGGCATTTGCAATAAGAGCTGGTAGAGTATTGAAATTATAACGAAAAACATTGAAATTTGTTTTTTTCATTTATCGGTAGTTTTTCAAATTAAAACAAACAACACAAAATAAAACAAAAAACAAAATAGAAAAATAAGGAAACAAAAAAATTGTGAAATATTTTCAATATACAAATAAAAAATAAATAAATAAATAAGTAAAAAAACAAAACGAAAAAAAACAATATAAATATAAAAAAAAAACCAAAAAAAAAATATTTAAAAAAAAAAAATAAAAAAAAATATGTAAAAAACCAAATAAATAAAAATTAAATGAAAAACAAAAAAAATTAAATAAAAAACAAAATAAATAAAAAAAACCAAAAATTAAAAATTAAATTAAAAAAAATAATATTTAAAAAAAATAAAAAATTAAACAAAAAAAATAAAAATTAAAAAAAAACAAAAAAAATGAATAAAAAAATTAATTAATTTCAAACTAAACTTAATTTAAAATAAAAAAAATTTAATTTAAAATAAAATTTAATTGAAAAATAATCATATTTCCAATATACAAAAAATAAAAATTAAAATAAACATAAAAAAATAAATTAATTAAAAAAGAGAACAAAAAAAATTAAAATAAGAAAAATTAAAATAAAATAAAAATTAAATTAAAAAGATTAAAGTAAAATATGATAACAAATTAAAAGACAAATATTTCGGAAGTATAGCCGTTATTTTATATTAATTCTTTGATGTATTTGTGTTTTTTTTGCCATTGTTCACCTTGTATTAATTTTTTGTTTTGTTATCTTTAGTATTTGCAGTTAAAAGTATAAACATTTAATTTTTTTGTTTGCAATTATAATATTTGTTGCAAACACTTTTTTATAAAATTAAAACCATTTAAAATTTATTTAGGTATATATGAAATTTGCATATAAAAATAAAAAGGAATTGTATATAAAATATTAATATGGAAATTTCGGAAATTATATAAAAAAAATTGTATTCATAAAAAAAGACTTTTATGGCTATAGACTTAATTGCATTCTATTTATTTTTAATATTAAAAACAAAATTTTTCCGTAACTTTTTAAAAAAATATTTTTCATAACATTTATTTTCACTTCTCGTTTTAATTTTTTTCTGGCTCAAACTGCTCTATTTATATTTCTTTGCCATTAGCCTATTTAATTCATATAACTAACAATATTTTATTATAATTTTAACCATTGGTTTTGAAAATTGTTGACACATATTTGTCTGCCAGTCGTTATCTACACTGTTATGCCAATCATTATTTTAGCAGTTAAATATATTTATTTTATGAATTATTAATTATGTTTTTTAAAACTCACCTACGACGTACAAGTTACCAACTAACAACACAGTCTGATTTTATGTAAGAATACAAATTCATCAATAGATTTTTATTTTTTATTTTTTAGCATTCTCTAAACATGCAGTGAGAGCGATAAAGCGACGAAAGTTCACTCTTTTTTCAAAACACGAATCAGGAAATTTTTATCATATCATATATTCATTTGTGATTTTTTTTTTGTAAAAATATTCGAAAAATCAATGCAACAATAATACGTTTGTTTAATTTGTGTAAAATATATAATAGTATTCATATTTTAAAATTATAATAAAATATTTTTAAACAAAACAAATCAATATTAATACATATGAACTTGTGAAACAACAACTCAAAATTGTTGGTGCTCAAAACTAGCTGCTAAAAGCGTTGCCAACAGTTACACATATAAAATAAAATTTTAATATAGCAGAAAAATAACGTTAAAGTGCGACGACTTGTTAAACAAAAAAAAACATTTTATTTTTTTTATAAGGTATTTATTTTTTCTAACCGACATTTGCTTATTTGCTTAAATATTTAAATTATTATTTGACTCTTTCTTCAAATGCTTATTATTCATATACATATATACTAGAATATAAAATATTTTTTAAAATCTAAAAGGCAAACGAAATGTTTTTAATAGCATGTGTCAACTTAAAGCGTAAATTACTTATTCGCAAATAACAAAAAACGTGAAAAATAAATGGGAAACATATGGAAACGTACATTTTGTGTATGTATGTGTTAAATAAGAATAATAATAAATATCGCGCTTTGCGCCAGCAATTTACGACAACTTTAAATATGACGGCGGCGAGCATTTTTTGCGCAAGAATTTTATAATATACAAAGGGAAGCAGGACACTAGGGTAATTATGGAGACCTTCCAGAGGAAATCATACGACCATATAAACTCCCAATCTGTGTAGAGAGACAGAGAGAGAGAAAAAGAATAAATTTTTGTTTTTAATTGCTCTAAAATCACAACTCACCAAAATACTCGTGCAGCACAGCCAAGGATATCAAGTACAGGGCCAAACTGAAGAGTTCAGCTAATACCATAAGGCTGTAAGAGGAAGAAGACATTTAGTTATTTTAGCAAAGTGAGACATTAGCTTAATACATTTTAATAACTAAATGCAAATAATAAACACGCATGACGATTTTATGCTACAGTGGTCCGATCTAAACAATTTGTTCGGAGAAACTTCGTGAAAAAATCTTGTCAAAGAAAAAAGTTTTCCATACAAGGATTTAATTTTGATCGGTTAGTTTGTATGGCAGCTATATGCTATAGTGGTCCGATCTGAACAATTTCTTCGGAAATTATGGCGCTGTCTTTGACAAAAATCTGTGCTAAATTTCTTGAGGATAACTTGTCAGTAAAAAAGTTTTCCATACAAGCCATTTATTCGGATCGTTCAGTTTGTACGACAGCTATATGTTATAGTGGACTGACATCGCCGGTTCACGCAAATAAGAGACTAGTTCGCGTATATACAGACAAAACGTATAGTTTTGGGAAAATTAATATAAGAAAAATAAATTTAAAAAAAATTAAAATAACTATTAAAATCGAATCGAGAGTTTAGTAACACGCCCAGTATTTACATTTTCACTTTTAACAAATTATTATCACTCACCGATGCCACGTGCGCACTGTCAACGCGACCATTATCAGCTCGGTGACAATGAGCGCCGAGAAGCTAATCGCCACAATATGTATGAATTCATCCTCGAATAATATGAGAGCGCCATACATAATCACACCGCCCTGGTATATGCTGATTAGCACCCAAATGAAGAAAGTCTTGTAGCTTAAACTACGCCCCTTGGATAGATCCTTGTACAACTCAGGATAAGTGACCGCTGTAGTCGACGTAATATCTTGATCCAGCACCAAAGAGAAAACGGGAAACATTGTGTACAACGTTGAATAGCCGACCATAAGGAAACCTTGATACAAAGCTACTGAACTGAGATAGAAGACGGCAGAGAAGACTGCTTGCAGTGTAGTTATAATTAAACCACGATGTATGACGAATTGTGAGAGCGCCGCCGAGCGTTTATACGAGCGACGTCCATGCACCAGCAGCAATTTGGCAATGTGTGAGAATTGTGGTACGCTAAAATCACCAGCAAGCGAAGCTTGTCTACCTTCACGTCCCTCGATGCCCACACCAGCATCGGCTTGTTGTATCATGCTGACATCGTTGCCGCCATCGCCGACAGCGCACGTGCGTTTGCCGGTGTGATGCTGTATGAGTTGCACCACTTGCGCCTTTTGCGTAGGACTGCAGCGGCAGCACACAACCGCCGGACTAGCGGTGGCAAGTTCGAGAAACTCCGGCCGATAGTATTGTAAGCAGACCTCAAGCGATTCACCTGATATAACCAATGCGTGTCCTTGCTTGCGTCTGAAATTATTCAACTCGGCATGCGCTTCTGTACGCGTCGACACGGAGCGCAATACATGCAGGCCCTGATTGCGTCCGATCAGCTGTGATGACTTGGCAATACAACAGGCGGTCTCGAGCTTATCACCCGTCAACATCCACACACGCACACCGGCGTTGCGCAGCAATTCGAGTGTGGGTCGCACGCCATCCTGCAGACGGTCCTCAACGCCTGCGTAAACATACCGGGGAATAAATTATGTGAAATACAAAATTTTCATTCACTGCGCTGCCTTACTTACCCGTCAAACATAGCAACTCCATTTCACGCTCCAATGACTCAATCACGGCGGCGACTTTTGCAACACGATCGGTTACGCTGAGGCGTGCCGCACTTATGCGTGTCTCAAAATCATTATATTGCTCTTCGGAGAGCACCTTCTTGGCGACAACCAAGGTGCGCAGGCCTTCGCGTGCCATATTGCCCGATTCTTCGCTTAGCCAATCGTTGTACTGCACGATGGAGGTCATGACTACGTCGGCGCCTTTGAGATAGAAAGTGATTTCGCCGGAACCCGAATCGCGCACTATAATGCCCATACGTTTACTCTCGCTCGTGAAGGGAAACAGTTGGAGAATTTGGAATTGCAGCATGCCATCTGCAGATTCGACTTTGGCTGTAAGAAAAGATGAAATAAGAGCAGGCAGAAACGAATATGAAATATTATCTTTGATTAAAAATTTGCATGCGATTAAAGCCAATCGGAAGAACTGAAATCAGTATATCTATTTATATTGGGCTAAGTGAAGTTATGAACTATCTTATTTTACAAAGGATATTTTGATCTGGTCATGGTCATCATTACCATCTAACTGTAGATTGATAGGTTCAGGAAACGAATTATTTCGACGGCGTTGGACCACAGGCAATGCGGTTACAAAAGAATGTGTTTAATGAAGCTTGAAAAAAGCTGGTTATTTTCTTCTATCAAGCCTGTTGTTGTTGTGGTAGTGAGTACCCTGAATATGTAGAAATTTAACTCGTTACAGTATCCAGAACGAAGTTGCGCTGTGGTCACTATAGTTTCACGCGGGTCACGGTCAGCGATGGGTGGTATTTCGACTCCAAGTACGCCATTCACTCGGGTCGATGGAAGTGTTGATAGTCTAAATTTGCTCGCGTCCGAAATCGTGTAGGTATATTATTGAAGTTTGTATTTTAGAAATGTTCTGTTGATGTTCCTAGGAGACGGAGAGGAGTGAATGCACCATGCAGGTGTTCGACGGAAGTCATCCCTCTGGTGGAGGAGGGAGTTTTGAGATGTAGAAGTTAAACAGTAGCGGGAAGAGGACACCACACTGAGGAACGTACTGTTTAATTCTTTTCAGCTTAAAATTTTCACCCCGAAATAGTAAGGATGATTTATAAAATTAATTGCTCTCAATACTTACGGCGAGAATAAAAAAGGGTTTGGACTTAACTTTGTTTTAACCGTTGCTATGACTGAATCAATTAGTCTTCTAATTGTTAATATTTTCTATAGACATAACTCTAAATCACTGATTTTATTTCTAATACTCACATTTTCTCGTTTTCATTTGCAAAGTCATCGAATTAATGTCACGTGCTATTAAAGTTAGCCCAACTTCGGCCGTCCACTTAACCAGCGCGATTTCATCGGGTGAGGAAGCCTGATACTGGTGCTCCGTTGAGCTGGTTTCAACGTTTATCACAGATTTTGTAGGTGAAGTGGAGCCGCCTGAAAAATTCCAGAAACCAAATGATGGATTCGTCATTAAATTGAAATTAATGTGTAATGCGAATACACGCACCTGCCGATGATGTGTAGGTCGATGACGTTGAAACAGATTTGTTATCGTCCTCATCAGTGATCGGTGTAACATTGTGACATAACGCCAACGCCTTAACCGCCTCCCATTCGCGCCAACCCTCCGGATGACGCATACGATTGCCGGAATACATCGGTTTGTTTGTTATAATTAACGGTGGCTGTTGTTGTTCAACCGCGCCGCTATTACCAGTGCCAGCGCTGCCGCCAACACCGACGCCCGGTGCACTTTGTGACAGTATTGTGGGCGCTAAATTTTGTATAATTTGACCGATGTGATGAAATGTGTCATTGTCATGTGAAACTATGCCCAAGTGTATTTTCTTGAAAACCATCTCATTTTGGGTCAACGTGCCGGTTTTATCCGTCAACACGTACGATATGCGACCGAGCTCTTCGGGTATGGTTGTCGAACGTACTACAGTACCTTGTATTTCGGGATCGTTTTGCATTTGCCACGAATAGAAGGCTTTGCCCATATCCAAATTGACACGCAAGCTGATGGGTATGATGTAGGAGAAGAGTAGTACAAAGCGGAACATGTAACGATACCAGGGACCGCTGAAGCCTTTAAGCATCATCATGACGAGCGACAAGCCGAGCACGGCACAGAAGAGCACCTGGCGGAATAAAGATTTATTAAATTTTATAAGTTTGAGTATAAACCACAAATAGCCGTTAACTTCGGTTGCACCGAAGCAATAATACGCTTCACAAGTAAAAAAAAGTTTTCCATAAAAGAACTGGATTTTGATCGGTGAGTTTCTATGACAGGTATATGGTCCAATTTGAACAATTTGTTTGAAAGAGACAATTTATGCTAATTTTCGTGGAGATATTTTGTCAAATAAAAAAGTTTTTAATACAAGAACTTGATTTTGATCTAACAGTTTGTATGACGCCTATAGGCTTTAGTGGTCCGATCTGAACAATTTGTTAGGATATTGCACCGATGCCTTGGATAATGATCCATGCCAAATCTCGTGAAGATATCTTGCCAAATAAAAAAGTTTTCCATACAAGAACTTTGCTATATGCTATAATAGTCCGATATTAGTGGTTCCGAGAAATGTTAAGCTTTTTGAATGTAAAAGGACGTGAGCTAAATTTCAGATCAATATCTTAAAAAATGAGGAACTAGTTCGCGTATATACAGCGGGCATGGCTAAATCGGCTCAGCTCGTAACGCGGATGATTTATTTACATATTTTATAGGTTCTCCGACGTTTCCTTTTGGGTGTTAAAAACTTTGTGGCAAACTTAATACACACCTTCAGCGTATAAATATTATATTTAAGAGATAATGCTGCATGCCAGCAAACACATACCTTTGTTAGACCATTAATCTCCACATCGAGCAGTCCAACTTTCGAACGTGGCTGCGAATTATTCATTACGCTACGCGTTTCACAGCCTGTATAGATGACAATGCCTGTGGCGGTGCCTGCAGCAACCACTGTGTTCGCCCATAATGTGTTCTCAACATTTAGACCAGTTTCATCGCCACCATCGTGCTAAGAGAGAAACATAAAATTAAATGTTTGAATACAACTGTTAGTACTTGATTAAAAATTGTATGGATTTACAAAGAAAACTGCACCCACCATCGAGAATGTGCCTATGAAAGAGTGTATATCATTTTGTGGCTTTTCAATGTAAACACTGGCATCAATATTAAACAAATCGGAGTCCTTGTTCAACTTTTGAGTAAGCGGCACGGCTAAGCGCAATTTCCAATCGGTTTCACCTGTAAGAAAGTAGAAGGAAAATATATTTATAATTCAATTGTATCATTGGCGTACACTTCACTCACCATCCAATTGATCGGTGCGCACAAAAACGGAGCCACTCTTGTCGCTGGTGCGCAACAGCACTAAATCAGCCGGCACGCGTTCGTTCTTCTCCACAATTATCATATCGCCCACTTTAAGTTTCGATGAGGGCACCATTTCATAGCCTGGTGTCTCATTTACAGTTAGCCTCTTGTATTTCTGTGAATTCACCTCGTGATCACGTTGATGTCGCCGCAAATCGTCGACTGCCTCACGTCCAATTGTCACCATCAGCACGAAACTCAGCGGTCCCCAATAGGTGTACGGATAACCGATACGTATGTCGGGTATGAATTGTGACAATGCCATGAGTAGGAAATAGAGATTTAAAAAGAATCGGAATTGCTCGAATAGGACGAGCGGCAGGAACGTGATCACATTGTATTTTTGATTACGTATCTCGTTCGGTGGGAATTTTTCGGTAGTCGCACGTCCTAAGTGGACGGTGCGAGCGCGCAGTTCGCGTGGTGAAAACCATTTGCGCCAACAACTGTGAATGTGGAGAATTACGTTACAACGTTTAGTGGTTAAATAAAGAGATGTTGTAAATTTTGTTGTTGGAAAAAAAACAGTTTTACTTTAAAGATATTATTTTGATTGTGACAGGATTTTTTGCAATATACTTTGATACTTATATACTACGCACAATAAATTTGCAAATAATTTTTTAACACGTTTCACGAGAACGAGGCTAGTGATTAATGACACGGAAATATATTTGTTACGCATACTGAAAGTACAACTTTAAACAATTTTTTCGAAATACACAATTCGATCGAAATAGCTTACACTAAAATACACTTATTGACTCAAAATCACCAATTTTTAAATGATCTTTTAAATTTTCTGAAGCAATTACAACTATTTCAAGTATTTGTGTTCAACTTTCGATTAAAATAATTAGAAAAAAATCAGTACTCATTGCCCCAAATCACAAATTTTTCGGTTCAGTTCGTTAAAATTTTCCTCAAGATTTTGCAACTATTTGAAGCACTTGTGTCCAACTTTCTACACCAGACCATTTTTGGACAAATTTTCGAAAAAAAAGTCTACAAAAATTCACAAGACTCACTAAAAGCAAGACACGCAAAATTCACTATTCAACCGATATTTTTCTCAAACCTACAAATAAAGTATCAGGAAAAATTTTGCGCTCAGCTTCAACTTCACCAATTCCTTGCCCGTGTCTTTATTTTCGACAACTTCCGACATTTTTGCATTACTTTCACAAATTCGTCATCGTCCAAGCCACACCAATAACTAACTGACTGGCTAGAAGCACAACAGCGGTCAGCACAATTCGAAAAATATGAAAAAATATAATAAAAAAAATAATAATAATGCATGATTTTAAAGTTATAGTAAGACAAGCAAACGTATTGATTTTCTGAGCGACACATTTGGGCTTATGGGCAATCGTTTAATTAACCAGGCATGGCTTTGTATGGCGAAAAAGCAACAAAAATCAAATACAAGTGGAATAATTACAACCATAAGCTAATTATTATTCATAACTTGAATGCGAACGAAAATAAAATAAAATAAATACAAATAATAACAAAATAACGCAAGTAAAATTCTGTGCAATGAAAAATGTAAGGTGAGACAACTTGCAGCGCATAGCAGTGTTGGAGTGGATACTCATACATAGCTACATTGAAAAGGTTCAAAAGCAAAACAACCGCGGTTTTAAAGGCAATGGAGGAGCACGTTGCGCGCATAAAGGTAGTAATTAATAAAACAAACCAAAATAAGTTAAAATATGGTTTCGATTAAAAAAAAAATTATATGAAACTTGAGGTATTTTATTTAAAAAGTGATATATTCAAAAAAAACACAAAAAAAACGGTAATTTGCGTTAAACTAGAGTTGCAAATTAATCAATTACAATAATAATACTTCATAAGTATGGAAATTGCTGTTGTGACGAAATGCAAAATAGAAATATCGTTACTACTACAAAGAAGACAGCATGAAGAAAATTATACTGATATAGTTTGCACAAAGGCTTTGAAAACGATGCAATAATATACCAACAACAATCGCAATTTGCATGAAAAGTCAACAATATATTGTGGCGTTGAACTGTTGTACAGATTGTGTAAACATTCAACGGAAAAAAGTAGTTCGTCATAAATTTTAAATATTTACATGCATACATTTATACAACGCGTTGCACTTTTATTGCAATTTATATTACGTACATACGAACATTTTAAACACCCTCAACGAATACATTACCCACTGAATGTGCAGTAATAAAAACCAGCTGAACATTAGCAATTATAAATATGAGAGTGAGAAGCGAATAACAGAACTAGATATAACAATTCATTACGAATACTTCAATGCTACACTGGCAAGATTGAGTCAAGAGCATATATACGATCTATACCCATGTATGTATATCAGTATGATGTCATGGTTGTTACTTATAAAAAACATTTGTGGCGATTACGTCGAATATTAAATATGTAAGAAACTAGTAGAAGAGACTTGAACAGCAAACTTCATAAGATCTGAATAAAAAAAAAATTCAAATTATATTGAAAGCCCCCCACGTCCAGTGAAAACTGGAAATAAGTTGTCAAGCAAATGCTGATTATAAAACTACAGCTTGAAACTTTATATGCATATTATTCTTAATTACGGCACAGCGGTAGTGTAATATTAATTGGTCTGCTTAACTGCAAAGTATATGCTTTTTATTAGGTTAAAGTCGGATATATCAAAAGTATGTCCAAAAATTATTTGGGTTGGTTGTGAAGTTATAACTACAAAAATTGTGTATGTATGGTATATAGAAATTTTTATACGGTCAAGGTCGCTAATAATATATACACACTCATATTTGCTTAATGCTTTTTATTAAATTAAACTTATAAGGGGAAAGGTAACAGATTTTACATTCAATTCGGCAAAGTTTGTTATTATTTCTATTCACATTTCTTCAATAGACTCGTTTGGCTTGTCACAACGAGTCAGTAACTAAATTAATATAATATATGTATTTATGTATGTATATATGTATATATGTATTTATGTACATATATTGTATTGATCACGCAAGTAGTATTGCGTTGCTGCTTATCAAAACATTTCAATTACATTTTTACAAGAGAATGTTACAATTGAAAAATTCATATAAACACAACACATTTGTAGCTGTACATATAACAGTGAATATATCAAAAAAAAAAATATAGATGAAATGCGGGCAATAATAACCCAACAGCTTTCTCCAAAAATGGTAAGCTCCTCGCAAGCAAAACCAACATACAAAAAACTACTTTTCACTGCATTCAGCGCGAATGTGGGTCTACAGCGAAAGCTGCAGCCATAATTATTAGTGGAGCACCATTCAACTACTCCAGCACAACGACACACAAACACACATTAGCAAGTGTAGTTAAAAACTTTGTCACCATTTTATATAAGCGAATTTCTTGTCCGCGTTAATCAACTCCACATATGGCATACCATGTCAAATAACTGTGCAAATAAGATTGCACACGACTAATGTGTATTTAAATACACTATATTATTCGCAATTGATGATTCACCTGAATAAATACCAACGTCGTCTGGGTCGATTTATTAACGGAATGTTCTCTCGAGCCGCCATCGGCGTAGTTGCAGAACTTTGCGACGCGTCGTCCATTACGAAATTAGTTAATTTAAACGAATACACTTTTGCGTTTCCAGTTTAAAACTTGGCTGCTGCGTTCTTTGTTATTTTTTTACACCACGATATGTAAATTGCGAAAGACAAGTTCCACTTTGTGCATTTACATTGCTTACAACACAGCAAGTTGCTGATTAATCCACTTAAAACACTATATCCAGAATACGCACAATATTATTCTTTACTTTTAAACACTATTTAGTTCGATTGAAACAGCAATAACAATAAAATTCGCTTTTACATCAGTTCAAATTTTTTCCCAGAACTGGTTCCCAACAGTGATGAAAAATTTCAATGCACACTATCGCACGAATACGCAAGAACACAATGAAAATCGATAAGCCAAATGGCGAAGTCGATGAGCGCGAGTGTGATGGCATGCATTGTTTTCTTTGTGTTACTTTGAAATGTCTGTCACAAGCGTGTGAGTAGCAAAACTGCTGACGTTACAAACAAATGGTAGCTATAATGTGGTGGTGGCAACATTGTTTTGACGTTCTTGCTTTCATCAGTTTCTGTTTTCGTTGTCTTTGCTTTATACCAATTCTGGTTTTGTTTTTTGTTTTGGTTTGAAATTTTAATATTTTTATTTTTGTTTAACTTTGCTTTGATAACGTTTTTCGTAAGCAAATGCAGTAAATCAGCTGTTTAAAGAGAATGTGCTCTGCTTGATCAAAAAGTAAGAGTATAATAGAAGAGAGTGTGTTTTGAAATCTTGTTCATTAGAACGACAGCGCGGACGAATATTTAACATTAGTGACGGCATTTTTATATTAATCTTATTCAAACATTTTGTAGTTTATTTCATTTTATATAAATATATATGTGTATAAATATCTAGTTTGGAATATTCTTTTTATATGATGTTTATTATATTTATTTTTTTGACAACACTTTTTTTCACGAAAAGGGTCGGAACGGTCCTATAACAATCTTGATTGGAATATTTGTCCCCTATTCGTTAAATTATCGGCTTGGCATGCTAGCTCATAGTATATAATAAGAGTAAGTAATTATATCCAATTGGGAATTTCAAAAAATCGTTTTGTTTTTTTTGCATCGAGTGTACATGTACCATATGCATTTGAAAATATTACCAGAAAGTTTGATGTTAATCTGGCAAATAGTTCCGGAGACAGGAGCGTATTTGTAAACCTCTTTTAGCTTAGTGTAATAGGTTCCCAAAACTTTGAACGCGGTTTTCTCGAAACGTTGTTTTCAGAGATGCCAAAGAAATTTCTTCCGAAACTGCTATATCGATTGACTTGAAATTTTCACACGACCTTCTTAGATATATTTGTCAGGTAATGATAGAACAAAAAAGATTTTTGATAAACATTTGGATTTTTAAGCCTCTCTGAAGACTACTTTTTAGTGAATAACTACTTTTTTTTGAGAAGCCTTTATTTCATCATAAATCAACATTTTTAATTTTTATAGTCCTTCGAACATTATCAGTACTCATCTATTGTCATAATAATTTTGTTTTTTGTTTTTTAGATTTAAAATAATTTTAAGCAGACGAATCTTTACCACCAGACTCTTTTTGCGGAGGTCCACTGGAGATCGATTACAGAATCCAACATTTTCCAAAATGAATAACCGATTAGTAAAGTACATTATATTCTAGAAATTTACACTATTTTTATTTATTTATCATATAAAATGCCTCTACAAAAAATTCACAAAAAAACTTATTTTTTTCGACTTGCAAATGAATATAACGCCTTAATGGCATTTCTGTTTACATAGACGTAACTGTATACATTTCATATATAGTTATCGAATGAACATATAAATATTTA